CGCTCTCAGACGAGAGCTCGCCCCCAGCGGCAGCAGCACCTGCCGGGACTCCTCGATGACGCTCGGCAGGTGGTCCGGGAGCGAGCAGCGGAAGAGCAGGTTGCTGAGGCCGCCGCTGCAGACCCGCAGGCATACAGTGTTATAAAGCCCATGACTTTGGACTCCTGTGTAAACCAAGACAAGAACATTCCATGCACTTTGGCACTGAATTGTGGTTGCTCGCCAGTGCACAGGATTCAGAAGAGAAGTTGGTAATGCCAGAGGAAAGGTGACTTTCAAGCAAGAAACTCAAGTGGGCATGAGAAGAGTGGTGGGGGATCAATGGACTGGAGATTTGTGGTGGTTTTATAACAACCCCCAATTTTTTTGATGTTTTTACTACTGAGAGGTGGGACTCTAACATCTCTCTTAATTTTTGCCAGAGGGGATATGTGCTGGTCAAAAAGAGAGGGGAGAGGAGAAAGCACCCCAAGGAAGCATGGCCTCACCGCCATTCCTATGATCCTTATTCCAGCGGGATTCGAGCATTCATGCACAGTTAGGTGCCTAGTGGTTTTGTAATTATTATTATTTTAAATTAATGTATTTTACATTCATTCACTGAACATACAGAGTGTGATTGCCCATCCAGAACACACTGCATATTGGCATAATCATATGTGTTATCAACGAATAATTTTCCATTTCTTGTTTCATATATATATATACATATATATGTAAAAAAAAACAAAAACAAAAACAAAAACAAATAAAAACCCTGGTAAATTATAATCATTATACCAGAAACTTCAGACTCAGAAAATGATATGTCTTAGATTTCTTTCATTCTGGATTATGTGCATTTGTAACCATAAGTATGGATTATGCTAAAACAATTTTAAAACAATAATAGATTTTATAATTAGAGTACATAGATATGCTGGACAGAGCACATAGCTCCATAGCAAGCGTCTGTAATATTGCCCTTCAATCGCCCTTCACTCTTGTCCTTTGTTAGGTCCATTTCTCTATGACTGTCATGGAATATACCATGTGGGATAATCATGATGATAATGAGAGTAACACTAACATGTTGAATTTCATGCCTGTAATATGTAACTCCTTTAGATGTGTTACCTATGTAAAGATAAGTAATAGTGTTTAAGGGCCCAGATGTACTGGTACAAGTGGTAGGATGCCATTCCATGATGCCGAAGCCACATGGAGGCCCAGGTTTGGATCATCGATTGACCTGAACGTGCTGAGTGTATGTGTACACACCTGTGATCCTGGCTGGCTGGGAGACTGGGGAGAGTCTTATCCTGGCTGGCTGGGAGATTGGCTTAATGAGGCTCTGTCAGGAGTACACTCTCTCTTTCATATAGGAATAAAATGACCTTCCATAAAACAGTGTTGGGCTGACTCTGTGGCCTGGTGGTTAAGGTAACTGGATCCGATATAGAAAACCATGCTGTTCAAATCCTGGCCCTAGTGGTTTGAAAACCATTCCAGGCAAGTGTGCATGAATGCACAGGGCCCAGCAGGATGGAGAAATAAAGGAAAAGAGATTGCAATGTAACCATGTTCCATAAGGAAATGCTGTCTCTCACTTCATTTCTGTACCTCTTGCTCTCTGGTAAGCATACATTCCCTCTCCCCCCCCAAATTAAATTAGATTACATTTTTTAAAATGGTATTTAGGGGGACCAGCAGTTAGCATAACGGCTATGTTGTTGGACTCCCATGTAGTCAACCGTGGTTCGAGTCCTGGACTCAGTGGCTTAAACTCACGCCGGGTGTGTGTGCATGTATGCCCAAGATCCCGAGAGGAGAATGAAGGAGAAAGGATTGCAGTGTGATCATCCCTCCTGGAGGGTGATTTCTTGCTTTCTGTCTCTCTCTTTCTGTCTTTCCGGCAAGCACAGACACCCTATAGCAAAAATCTCTCTCTCAAAAAAAAAAAAAAAAATGGCATTTAGGGGCCAGCAGGTAGTGTGGTGGTTAAGGTGCTAGATTCCTACGTGGTCAACTGCAGACTGAGTCCTGGACCTAGCAGCTTGAAAATTGCCACAAATAAATAGGTTAAAAAAAAATTAAATGGTGTTGTAAGTCTAAAGTTTTGCAACTCAGGTCTAACACTATGTATACAACATTGTACAACCTTTGTTCAGTTACTTAAATTCTTTATGCCTCAGTCTTCTCATAAGTATATGCTCTTAGATCGTTGGGAAAGTCATGACTCATTTTTGCATAGAAAAACAGAAATAATGCATCATGATTTTTCCAACGACCCAGTAAGTCCTTTCAATACATCTATTACTTTGTATTAATAAAAGTTCATACTAAAATAAAAAAATAATACCTGTGAATAAGGCACTAATTGTTTTCCTTTCATAGTTGTAAAAATTAAGATTGAGTAATCTGGGTAAATATCCTAAAGATTCATGATATTAAAGAATTAAAGCTAAGCTACTTTATTTGGCTTTTATGCCTTGGTAGCCAGCCCCATACTGAATCCATAGACGTTTGGTCCAGCAATAGGTATCTTGCCTAAGCCAAGAGAATCAGAGTCCATTCCCAGAGTTTCAGAACTCAAGTTAGAAAAGCCTTCCTAGTTGCTTTCTAGAATGGGCCTAACACAGCCAAAGAGAGAAAGGTGAATGGAAGGCAATATTATAGATGGTTGCTACAGAGCTGGCTTAGTCAAAGTGAGAGAGAAGAAACAGAGAGAGAAATAAAGAGGAAAGAGAGACAGCGACTCGGAGAGTCAATGTAATACTCAAGCCTCCAATTTTAGTTTTCATGCTCAGAAAGTGCCATGTTGCTTCTTTACTCCTTTCATTTTTTCCTTTCCACACTTAATTTGAATTATAATACAGTAAATTCATTTGTCTACAGTAGTTTGAGATGAGTTTCTATGTATTAGCAAGTTATCATCATTTCACAGCTCCTAAAGTAAATATACAAATGAAAAACAATTTCCTAACAAATATAAAAAAATTCTGAAATACTAAATAAAATAAATTATGGTTTTAATTCAGGAAGAATTTACTTCATCTCAATAGTGAGGCTTATTTTTTAAAAATTTCTGGATCAAATTATCTCATAGGTAAAACACCATAGCTAACTTTAATATTACTTTTGTATACTTTTTCCTTATTATTTTACAAAGCAAATATGTGGTGTTGCTCTTAATTATCACATAAAATGTTTACATTTAGATCATGTACTCCTCAATCTTAAATAAGTTTGAATAGGCTGCTCAACTAACTGTTGGAAAAAAGAGTTATTAATTGAAAATGATTAACATGGGGGGCCAGCAGATGGCTTAACGGTTATGTCGTTGGACTACCATGTAGTTGACTGTGTTTCAATTCCCGGACCCAGCAGCTTGAAACTCACACTGAACGTGTGTGCATGCATGCACAAAATCCTGAGAGTAGAATGGAGGAGAAGGGATTGTGGTGTGGTCATTCCCCCAGGGAATGATTTCTCGCTTTCTGTCTCTCTGTTTTTCTGGCAAGCACACGTGCCCTACAGCAAAAATCTCCAAAAGCAAACAAACAAACGAACAAACAAAAACAAGAATAAAATGGTGCTAAATATTACAAGAAACAATCCTAAGCATGTTTGGTACCATTTAATTCACCTTTAGGCAACAGTTCAATTTATTACAAAAGAAAGAGGACTCGGAGAAGATGAAGAACAAGAAGAGAGGCACGAGTACAGGGGAAAGAAGAAAAAGCCTGTAAAAAATGTCAGATTATAAGAAGAGGACAGTGCTCTTTCAAATAATTGGCTCATATATATTATATATGTATATATATATATATATTTAGAAATGTAGCATTTTAAGTTACAAATTTATTTACATTAGTATGACTGTAAAATCAGCTTCCTGTTCAGTATAATTGAGGTATATATGTCTCCATACTTATGTACGTGGCATGAGTTTTTAATGATACCCCACTGATGATGTAGAATATTCATGTAGAATATTTATAATGTTTAATGTTTGAGGGACCAGCAGGTGGCATGGTGGTTAAGGCGCTGGACACTCCCACATGGCTGACCAGGGTTTGAGTCCTGAATCTGGTGGCTTGCTTTCTCACTTCCTCTCTCTCTCATGCTCACTCTTTGTCTCTTTCTGGTAAAACTAAAAAATAAATGAATGCATGAATAAAATAAAATAAATAATTTTAAAAAATGTTTAATGTTTGAAATGAGTTCTTTTCAATTTGTCAGGTGATGTAAAAAGAAAACTCAACCTAATAAAAATCATTTTACTCCTCATACTCTTCAGGAGAAACAGACGATACGTTGAGTTTGACATACTGCTGAAGCCGCGGATAATGAGGAATTACCGTTGTCTACCATTGTTCATCTGGACTTGTATGTTCCATATGGTTGATACAACCCCAGTACAAGAAAAAGCTAACAGTCATCTACCGAGCAAAAAGACAGCGGGTCTCACCACAGATGACAACAAAATGCTTCGTCGCACCAAGCGTGGCTGGATGTGGAATCAGTTCTTCTTGTTGGAAGAGTACACAGGTACAGACACACAATATGTAGGCAAGGTAAGAATTTTCATGGGAGAATTATAAAAGCTGAACCAGATACCTATTTATTTACATTTTTGCCACGACTTCCATGTCATTAATGATTATTCAAAAATATTTGACAACTACAATATTCAGAAGGCATGGTATTACAAATATTTTCAGTGGAATAGGGTGGGAAATGGGACATGTTCAGGTACTACATATAAATCAGTATCCATAATAAGCATCAAAATAAGATGTCATATGTGGACTTAACTCACTATTAATCATGTAGATGCAATTGTATTATATGTGTATATATCTAAAAGAAAAATTTCCCTTGCAAATTAATGCAAAGTCCTGAGTAAATAACTTAGTGTGTTATAGGAGGCAAAATAAAATGTAATGCAAAAATACTAAAATATATTGATATCTATTTATGAGTAGTTCATCATAGTTCAGGATACTTAATCTTGTACATAGCTCATCTCTCTATAGGAAGCTTTCATTTGTTAATAACAGCCACCTGAATTACTTTCTGCCTCTAACCTGTACTAAAGGGTTTAAAGCAGAAGGAAAAAGAAAACAATGAAAGGAGAAAGAAGACACAACCTTTAAGAAGATGTAATTCTGTGTTAGTAATGGCAACATTGACAGTGGTTCATTAGCAATTATGAGCAAATGGTAATAAGAGAATGGATAACTCCCTTCTGGTATCCAATTTCAAAAAAAACAGGTTAAGCAGTTGGCGTAATGGCTATGTCACTGGACTCCCACGTAGTCGACCGTGGTTCGTGTCCCGGACCTGGTGGCTTAAAACTCACGCCAGGTGCATGTGTGTGTGCGTGCGTGCCCAAGATCCCGAGAGGAGAATGGAGGAGAAGGGATTGTGGCGTGGCCATTCCCCCCTGGGGGGTGACTTCTCGCTTTCTGTCTCTCTGTCTCTCTCTGTCTGTCTGGCAAGCGAACGCGCCGTATAGCAAAAACCTCCCCCCCGCCCAAAAAAAAAAAACGAGGTCATTGCCTCTCTCCATTCATTACTTCAGTGTTTAGAGGTTTTCTTGTTCTTTAGTTCATTATCTCTTTCTCCTTCTAGTGCCATGATCTATCCAACATCCCTGAGTTTCTATTCATCTATCACTCCCTTACCAATCTCATTCATACCATTGTGGACTCAGGACAATTCGCTGGTTCGCTATGATTATCCCTGATATACATCTAATGCCAATGCAGAGAACTTTCAATATCTGACAACTATACACAATTATACCCACAAAGGTGGTCCACAGATTGCTTAATTACTTTTCTTGATTCTTGTCACATGAGTATTAGAAGTGACTGTCATGGTCTGACAGGTGTTTATATGCTCTGGCAGCACCAGGCAAATAAATAAGTTCATATAGACTAAAAGTGGAAACTAAAAAAAGTAGCGGAGGGGCCAGGGGGTGGTGCAGCGGTAGAAATGTGGCTCTCTGTGAGGCCTTCTCACGTGGGAAGGTTTCCAGCTCAAGTCTGGAGACCTCCTTGAGTGTGTGCAGGGCACACACATGCCTATTACCTGGGCTGGCCGAAGGCCGGGGTCGGATTGCATTATCAAGACCCACTTGGGTGTTCTGTCTCTCTCACTCTCTTTTTATGGAAGAATGAGGGGGTAAAGTTAAAAAATAGAAAGTATCTGTTATCACAAAAGTCATGTCTTTAGCTTTGAAGCCAGAAATCATTTCATTCTGTGAAATTGCCAAAACCTTGATCTAATTCTTTGTGTGGGGGCCAATGCACTGCTTGCAAATGCAGCTTTATTTTTATTTATTCATTTTTTTTTTTATCAGAAGCCTACTATTTCCTCTCCTTTTGATAGCTCTTTTAGTGTCAAGGATCATGTTCCTGTTGCCCCATCCATTCACTTGCTGATCGTTTCTCCCTGTTATTTCCCCTCGGGTTAGTCATATGGCATTTTCCAGCATTCTCCATTTAACATCACTTTTCACTCTATAGTTAATAACCGACACCAAGATTTTCAAGTTCAACCAGCACACGTTCACATCTAACGACTTGAAATTGCCTTATGATTCTTCCTCTATGGCAATGTGTAAAGGACATATTCAGGTCATAGGTCCCTACAGAAACTGTTTCATTCTTAGAGATCACAGATACAGAATAGCCACAGATAAAAGAGATACTCATAATCTTAAAGCAGCTAAGGCTCTACTGTAAGCTTTTATTTTTTAGCTGGAAACAAAAAAATACTTTCTTCTAAAAACTGAATGTGCATTCATTGATTTCTAAATGGGAGCACATTTCCAGCTTTGACATTCAAAAATTTATGCATTATATTTTATATCTTCTTGCACTATTTTGAATTTTTTTTTTGAGAGAGATTTTTGCTATAGGGTGTGTGTCCTTGCTGGAAAGAAGAGACAGGGACAGAAAGACAGAAATCATTTCTCCCAGGGGCTTTAGCCACCCTGCAGTCCCTTCTCTTCCATTCTCCTCTTGGGAGTTTGGGCATGCATGCATACACACCCAGTGAGAGCTTTAAGCTGGATGTCCCGGACTCCAACCTCAGTCAACTATGTGGGAGTCCAGCGATGTAACCATTACGCTATCTCTTCTTCCCTCTTGCGTATCTTAAAATTAGTTCTGTAATCTGTCATAAACAATCACTAAAAGTGTGTACATAGTTTAGTTTAATTTCTTTCAACAAAATATTTTGTCATTTGTCTTAGAAATATGACCTTGTCTTTTCACCCATGGACAATTAAGGTGCTCATTTTCTGTATGTGTGCCTATTTATCCTTGACTAACAGATCACAAACTAAAAACAGAAAATTCACTGTAATAATCAGATTTTTTTTTCAAAGAGGTTTTTACCTTAGAGCATGTGCACTCGTGGAAGAGAAAGACATAGACAGTGTTTTTGATCACATTGCTTCTCCATGCCCTAAGTAAACCAAATCTGACTTTCCAGACTTGGAGCTCCACCAGTGTGAGAAGGTCTGCCAACTTCACCATGCACCATTTTGGGGAAGAGGTAGCTAGTATGTAATGGAAGAAATGTTCACAATTTGTTCTTAGTTTTTTAGAAGGAAGGTATCACAGACAATAATAAGAACAATATTAATTTATAAGTGACATAAAGTCATAAATTTAAAGGACATATCCTCCTTCAAGGCAAAAACTAGAGTTACGGGCCAGCCCCATAGCACAGGTGGTTATGTGCTGTGCATAGAAAGAGATCCCACATGGCTGATCACTGTTCAAATCCTGCCCTGGCAACTGGAAAATGAAAGCAGGCACATATGCACGCATGCCCCAAATCAAGACGAGATGGAGAAATGGCAGTTAAAGGATAGTAGCATGACCGTGTCTCACTAGGAGAGCTTACTCTCTCTTGTGATTGCATGCACTCACTGGCAATAAAACGAATAAATAAATAGGACAACAGGGAAGTGTTTTTTGTCGTTTGTTTTTAGACCTTTGCCATAGAGTGTGTGCTCTTGCCTGCAGCAGGCTGGGTAGGGGACACTAATGAGCTCAAGCCCAGTGTCTTGGGGTTCCCTGTTGTTCCTTCTGTCTCTTTCATCTCTGGGATTACAGGAACCAGGTGTTGGTTCTTGAAGGCCAGGAAAGAACTGGAGCAGTGCCCCCTTCCCCACAGTAGGTTGGGTTTGGATCCTTTACGGGTTCAAGCCAAGTGGCTTGAGCTTCCGTCCTTACTGACCCTTCTATCTCTTCTCTGTTTAAAGCTCTTATACAAACTTGTGATGGCTGGAGCAAAGTCTGGAGTGATAATCTGTTACTGTTACTGTCAGGGTGGATTAGAGGATCAAGAAAATAAATTAAGCTGACATTTTTATAAGACAATACTGTAGAATTTTTCTTTATGCCAGTTCAGATATTTGCAATATAGTTAATAAAAGTCAGGCCTAAGAGCAAGTTTTTATGCTTTTGGAGTAAAGCAATCCAAAGTTTAGTTGATTGCTTTTGAATGAAAGTATCAGACATTTACTAATATTATTGTATGTACTAAGGGAAACCTTTCTTTCTTACTCCAGAGGATTACAGTCATAACAATTGCCACTTAGCTTCTGTATAAACTGAATAGATGCATATGACTGAATTATTTAGGCAGAATAGTAATGCCATTCAAGAGATAAATTAAAATATATTCAATAAGAAGCATAGAAAATACACCTAACTGTTCTGTTAGAGAATCTTCACATGCACTTGACACTTTTACATGTCAGATCAAGGACCTAAAGAATTCCTGGTTATCATGAATCAATAATAAATTATATGCCAAGTATTATTGAGAATTTGTCAGAATTTAATTATTTTGTATCTGGTTGTTAAATCATTTATTGCCTAAAGAGATACCTATTGTCTAGACATATCAGGTAGAGCATTTATTATTTTTGAAGGAAAACATTAAGATGAATTAAAAATATTTGAATATTGACTTAATTGTTATATTTGAATTCAAAGGTAAGTATTTGATACTTGTTTTGTGCTCGATAAAGAACAAAGTGACAATGAACTGCCTATAAGCAGTCGTCTTCAGAATGCAAAGATACCTATACATAATTAATTCCCGAGTTTTCATAGTTTTAATTCAGAAACTTCTGCTCTGCCATAGCTGAAAGCGTTATCTAGAGTGGAAGGGAGTTTTCACACTTGACAAACTCTGCCTTCTTGGTTTTCTTGTTTAGTTCCTATCTAAAACAATGGGAAACACAAAAATCAAATGTAAGGAGAGGAGTCTGGTTTATATTTGATTGCCTATTGAAGTGTGAGGCAACTCTGTTTCACACTTACATATGCTGATGTAAGCACTGAATATTGATATATCCCCAAAGCATATACGAAATAATGGACATGCATTGACAATTTTCTTTTAGGCTTTTATGGTATGGCAACTTAATGTGTACAAATAACAGACAGACAAGAAATTAGGGACTGCAATAAAGTTTCAAATTTACTGAAAGATGTTTGATGAATTTTTTATGGTGTATCATATGTTTTTCAGAATCTAAATA